GACAGCATAGACAGGTATTTTCTGTGTTAGAGTTTTACTCGCTACAGGGTGTACTTTGAGGGTTTGTGCCTTTGCAGACCGTTTACAAGCAGAAAAACCTTCATAACACACAAGGGGACGGGTAATAACCGTAAAAGCATGACATGGGACCTTTAAGATCCTGTCCGTCAAAATGATGGGCAGCGAAAAAGTCTAGCGTCACCACTGGTCCTAAGAGACTTCTGGAGGCTACTAGAATTTCACAAAGAAATCCCTATAATAACAATGTTGGCAGAGTTTTTAATTAATGCTGTGTTTACGTCACAAGGAAGGAATACATTTGCCATTTTCCAGCTTGTAAAAGCAACATCCAAGTAGCTGAGATGCATCCAACTTGGCTTTACATAGAATGGAAATGTAGGAAAAAAGAAACAAACATGAATGGCTTGCGTCAACCAAATCTAACTATTATAGGGGAAATAAATCCTTATTTAACCCTTTTTTTGTAGCTAATTCTGGATAAATATTAATTTCTGGTACGTTGTGACCTTCACTGCCGATCTGACTTTCACACCTTGGCTTCTTGCTGGGACACTAAAGCTGTCTAATGTCTGAGTGCTGTAGTTAGCATTTATTTTGGGGTAAACATCATTGCATTTGGCTTTGGCCCAGATGCGAGACTGTGAATTAAAAGGGACACGATGAGTGAAACCAATTAAATCCAGGACCCAAAATAAAGCTCAGAGCATAATGTCACTTAATATGTCACTTCAAACGTAACACTGCATTCTTTGCAAAGAGAAGCTGCTCAAACATGTTTCAGGGAGTGTCAAATTCACACTGACATATTTTGTTAACGAGAATTTTTTTTATTGAAAGTCTAACTAATTTGGAGGAAGTTGTCGTAGATTTTATTTTCTCCTACGGGTGTGAACAGTCAGTATATTTATTGAGTCTGGCGTGTCACTATATTTCACCCCAAGAGAAATCTAATAACCTGTATATATGCTGTATATTGTTCAGGGTTTCTCATAAAAGCATTCCTCACTGGGATAAGCTTTAATGGCTGTTATTTATATTTGGGCCGGGCAGGTTTATTCTGTGCGCCTACAGAAATCATTACACTTCCCCTTGGGAAAGACTTTAGCGACACGTGTTTCACCCTGGCAGATGACTCAGCGATAATATGTTTCCCCTTTATTGGTTTTTCCTTTGGCATTATTGGTTACCTTCCACCGAGGTCATTAAAAAACAACTAGGGGAGAGAGACACAGGCCACATACAGCACTGGTTTCCATACTGTGTAATGAGGAAGTAACTACTTCTGATTATTGAATCCACACTGAGCGAAGCTGCAGGAGAGAATCACTAAAGAGCTATTAAGTATTTAACACTATTTTAGTTGTAATATTGGGCTTGTAAGGTTTAGTAAAGGAACTCAAGGATATTTACCCTATTGGCACACACTGAAAATAGATCCATCTTGATAGAGTTATCAGGAAATGAAAATACTTTTATCATTTTATTAGGGAATTATATCAGAGTGTCAGTTCAACTGGAAGTACCCAGATGGCTGGTTGGCATTGATCATAGTTAGAGTCTCTGTTTGTTCAATAAGACCATGTCAAACAAACACAAAGCACAGCTTCTAAACATAGACATACAAAAAGTTTTTTTTTATAAAATGTGCTCTTCCCTTTCTGCCATTTCTCCTCAAACAGCTGTTAATGGTTTTGAAAGTTTCCCTTAGGCAGAGCTGAAAAACTTGCAGAGGCACATAAAACACAGGAACATTTACATTATATCCTACTTTATGGTCCATAAAATCACGGTAAAACGGCTGCTCACTGAAGCATACAAACTGTTTCAAAAGTGATTATGCGAGGGCCCAAAAAGAGATGATGGAAGAGAGGGTAATCTTCAATTTAACAGCAAGTATAATGAGAAGAATGGTGTGTGAAGAAGAAAGAGTTCCAAACAGAGGCTTGACCACATTTCTTTTTTCTTTTTAGTTTAAAAGATCAGGAAGTGGAAGCAACACAATATCCTTTTATAAAGTTTGAAAACACATTTTCAAAAAGATCTAAGCATATATTAGAGTAGAATATTAGCTAGAGAAATAACAGTATAATGTGATTACAGTGCAACAATAACCAAAAACGTAATAAAGCAGGCGCAGACAGAGAAACTGTTGAATTTACAGCAGACCTCAGATGTTCCAGATTCGTGGTGCAGAGAAACTAACGACTATGTTTCTTTAACCCTTAGTAGTGAAACAGTCCCAGATGACCTGAGAGGCCGTAAAACTGAAACGGATCAGGGAGGTATTTTGAGCCTTGAGTATTTTAAAATCAATATTTAAAGATGAGAAGAAGAAGTAGATGATGATGATGATGAAGAAGATCAAACATTTGGTGGTAGTGGATGGTTCAGAGGGTAATTTTATAAAAAGAAAATATATGCAAATTACACCTGTTTGTACTGGTTGTTACGGGTGAGCGAAGCAAGCAGGACCCAAATGCAGAGAACACTGAAAATACCTTTATTTCAAGGATAACACGGACAAACAGAACACTCCACGGTGAACACAGTCACAGACAAACGACGAACCAACAATGACAGACAGAAAAAACAGAACTTAAATACACACAGGACTAATCAAGGAAACAAGAGGCAGGTGAGGAGGGAGGATAAAACACAGGGGCACCAGGTGAACACAATCAAGAAAACAGGTAGGAGGGAACAGGTACACAGGAGGGAACACACACAGACAGGAAACCAAAGACAGATCCAGACAAGACAAAACACAACACAGACAGATCGTGACACTGGTCCATTACGACAGATTATCCACCTCTGCTCTCATTAATTCAGACTGAAATGTTAAGGAGTGGATAAAATAGAAATAAGGTTTAATCAAGTTCATGTTAAATTATTAAAATCATTACACGATAATTCAAGAATTAATTAGCACTTGATGTCATTGTAAATTGCATTTCATAAAGCAAAATGCAATAAGATAGAAAACAGGCTGAGGAGTGCAGTGACAGGGAACGAGTGGGTGTTTGTATGCAGCACCTTAGAGCAGGGAGCCTGTTGATCTCAGGCATCTGCTCTTCTGTCTAAAAAGGGAAAAAGCAAGAGGCACAGGTGAAGCATGTGAAAAACATTACTGCTGTCAGGGAAAGCCAGAAAGCTCCAATTAGGTTAGCTCAGTTTTTATTTGTAGCCTTTTCTTGAGAGACAGTTTGTGATTAGTTGGGGTGTTTATACCCATAAAAGTTTAATGTATTCTGAAATGTATGTAAAAATAGTTATGTATTAATAAAACATACATTTGGTGACAAAAATATTGCCTTCATTAATTCGATACGGATGTGTTTTTGATGATTGCAATCTAGAGGCGCAGTCTGAAAGAAAATCATTAAAATTCATGCACCTGCTCTACCAACTGTCACTGCTGGAAACTGCACATCTATTGACACTGCATTCAGAACAGAGCCATAAAACTGAAGTGATATTTGTACACAGGCGTAAAATTGGTGTTTGTGCTTCAACAAAGTTTTTTTATTCTATAATATTTTACTGTCATCTTCACTGATCCCCATTTAACAGCCGAAAGAAAAACAAAGCACTGTGTCAGTCAATAAAAGTTATTTTTATCAATGCGGACATGTCTTTGTCCACAAAAAAAGAGACGTCTTCACACAGATACACTTTTATGTACAACACAACCCTTCACAAAGCACTGTTAAACTCTTTTGTACTGTAATGAATAAATAAAAGCACAGGCATATAAGGTACTACAATTACAACAACATACTGCCACTGCATTGTAACCCATTGATAACAGTAAAAACATGTATCTTTTAGTGTCTGTAAGAAGAAGAAGAAGAAACAACACTTTATTAATCCCTTACAGGGAAATGTCTTTGAAGGGACATCTAAAGCATTGGCAGAGGGACCTCTTTACACATAACAATGCCTATGAGAGATTATATGTAAATATACAACATGAATATTCAAATGTAATAGCTTATAGCATTAGCATGACAGCATCAATACGGCAATTTACTGTTCTGGGAACTTACAAATATAATTTCAGGACAATATATTCAACCCTTTACAGCTTGTATAAAGTTAAAATATATTTTTTATATAAAGTAATGACAAAAACCATAGCTCAAAGTGGTGCTTTGAGCTAAATGCTTATTTCAGCATGCTAACATGCTTGCAATGACAGTGTTAACATGGTCATGTTTTTCATGTTACATCTTTCTTTAAGATGCCATTGAGCTGTCAGCATGCTGACATTTTCACAATGACAATGCTACCAAGCTACTGTTTGCCATCTTACTTTAAGATGTTATCATGCTAACATTTGCCAATTAGCACAAAGCAAAGTGAAGCTGAGGCTGATGGGAATGTTATTAATGTTTTAGATATTTGGTCATAAACCAAATATTAATATGGGACTATATGAAAAGTTTGTGGATAACCAAAGTTTATACCCAAAGACATTGTACACTTGGTAGGGCTAGAAAATGTGTCATGTAATGACCAAATGTATTAGGGTTTATCCTCATATTTAAACTTATGTCTGCGCAATATTTCACTGCGATGGACCAAAGGAGAGGACTGAATCACTGGCAATACCATCCCCAGAGCCATGCTGCTAGTGTGGCTAAAATGAAAGAAAAATGAATGAGAGAAATACAAATGTAGCGGACATTTAACATGTTTTCTTTCTTTCAATCTTCCTGCACCACATGTCTTTCCCCAAGGATAAGTGTGCTTAAAAATGCTTTCTCAGACTTTTGCGGATGAATGTCTACGTTGCTTATTTCTCTTCACATGAAAAACGTCCTTCAGATGAAAATAAATAAATATTGGGGTTTGAAAAACGTGGGACTGACGCTGTTGCACCTCATCTTTCAATCCTAATGTTCGGCTTGTACATACACAGAAGCCGTCTGATAGATGAGGGGAAGTTTACTCGATGGTAAGACAATCACACTAGAGAGATACCGCCTGATGCTTCGCTTGTGATGGGTATACGCATTTTCTCTTCTTCTGTGGTAAACATAATAAATATAGTGCTTAAGGGACCTGAGAAAGAAAAGGAAAGAAGTAGGTATGGAAAGTAGCAGAGAGGGGAAATAGTGAGGCTGCAGGGACCCAGTCAATAAAGACCACACACATATACACACACACACAGAAAATAGACATTGAACACCCAGTAGTGCCTCGAGCTAAGGTGCATGACGCATGTGAGATTGAGTATGAAACACCCGTGTTTCTCGCTCTGTGTTCCTGGAAACTTTACACTTACAAAAGACCACAAAACATCTTTAAAATATAAAAGAAAAACATGACAAAAGACTGTTTCTCAGTGAAATGCTCACGGAAGCTACCCCGATTCCAATCCTGTTGCTTCATAAATGTCTTTATATTTTTTCCAAGTGCTGTGTTGGCTGTTTGAGAGTCTGAAATGTTTCAACGTTCAGAGGTACACAATGGTTTCCTCACAGCCCTCCTCACCACCGCTGTCAGTCTCTAAGGAAACCAGAGCACGGAGGTCCAGCTGAGGGTCAGCGGGATGCGAGAGCAGAGGATACGGGTCAGCCCCGCTGGCTGTTGACGGCCATGTGTCCCCGATGTAGCTGTGAGGATCTGAGAGAGAGAAATACAAATATTAAACTGGAGGGAAGAACTGAATGTCATGTTATACATTTGAAGCTTCTCATGGGAATTTTGAATTATTTTTAAATAAATGTCATCATACTTTACAGTGCCATAACCATAAAAAAAGTTATGTAATTGAACAAAATCCTCGATTTGCATAAAGTGATTTATTGGATTAAAATACATTTGAAGTCATTAGTTTGCCTCCCTTTGTGTGCGGCTAGCAAGAGAGAAAACAGTTTTAGACTGCAGTGGAAATGTTGTTTTTGAAAGGCTAAATAATGGCAACAAAAGTGGATTAAAGCAAAAATATTTAGAGAGAGAAAAACATGTGGTGAATTTCAACTTTTGGACTTTACAACTCTCTGGAGTTATTTTAAATGTTTTGATCACACAAGACTGAAAGATTCCTACACAGCCATCACCACTGGAATCTATTTCTATAAAGTCTAGAATACTAATATCAGTGTAGTAAAAGGAAGAAAAAAAGAGGTGCAGCATTGAAATGTTCATTTAGAAGTCAAACGTTATGCATGAAGCTTTAAACTATTCTGTACAGCCCTATTGTACTGGGTGTAGAATAAATGCAGCTACTATTAATACATTGATCTTATCAATCATTCACTAACCAGTGATACATAATCACCAGGATTAATTGGTTAATGAGTTCAGTCTAATTGTTGCGCCCACTCTTCTAATCACTACCTGCATATAGATCAAACCCCCCCCGTTCTGCAGCGGAGCATGAGAGTGAGAATGAAAACAAAAAGAGGTTTTAACTATCCATCATTCCCCCTTCTACTTAGAGGTGTCCCTTTTATCATTATCTTTGTCAGCATCATCCATCGCCATGGTTAGGATTTCATGACTAACGCCTTCTCAAATTTGACTGTTAACCAGAAGAGATGAGGAACATGGGTCCGGAAAGAAAAAGGAATTAACGAATATTTAACAATTGTAATACTGTGAACCATGCACATTCCTCTCTATATTTATATACTGCACATGTTTTATTTTGTGTATTGTGCTTGGTTTTTATATTTAAATGTATTGTAAATAAATAATTCTTTTTTTTTTTAATAGTTTGTAAGATAGATTGCTATTGATCCCTGAGGACATGCAGGTGTTTAAGAAACAATTATAAATATGTATTTGATCAATATTTTTTTGATACAAATATAAATATATTAAAATATTTACTGCTGAATTGTTTTTTAAAGAAATGTGATATCTCCAGCTTCAGTTGTGTTCCCCTCAAGGATCAATAACATTGCAATTTAATTAAAGGCGATCTGAAATATACATTGTTTTCATGGGTGGCCTCTAGTTGAGGAAGTGTGTGCTCTTACACGTGTGTGCGTGGTGGGTGCTGTCTAGCATTAGGGCAGGTGTGCTGTCATGGTAACAGATGGCGTGAACTATAAATTGCCTCATTGTGTCCCTGAAGGAAAGTGCCTTTGTTTGATTAATTATATAAGAGTCTGTTAGAGTGGATCTGTTAGCCACCATATAGATGGCCTCTGATAGAGGAGACATCAAGTGTGCAGCAAGATGATAAAAACACTCAATCTCTGTCTTCATCTATAAAGTAATACCATTTTAGCGTTATTAATATGTTGGAACACAGACAGCTTAATGCATGCTATTAAAAGAAAGCACCAAAAAAATATCCATTTGTACGGGCTGCAGAACATTTGGAGAAATTAATATCAGTCTTGTATGATTACCCAAACAGAAACCAGATGGCCGGGGTTATTAGAACGACCTGGATCATTGTGGGTTCCCTTGCCAACATCATTAGATGCTTTGTAAGATACTACAGGAAAACTTAGTCTGTAACACTTCCTCTCTGAATTTGAGTTAAAGCTTTCTGGACGAGACAATACAACACATCTGGTAAATGGAAAGAAATAAAAAGGATTTTTTGAAGCCATATGCGGTTGTTTTGACATCTTATGAGAATATATATTGTTCTCCTTCAGTACAAACGATCAGCCTCTGCAATAAACAACCTGTTATGACAACAAAAGAACTTTAGGTTTAGGAAAAGCATAGGTAAACATTTTAAATAAGTATGTTTGTTTCATATTTGAAAAGTTTAAGACCCCCTATTATGCTTTTTGGGGTTTCCCTTTTCTGCAGTTATATAGGTTTCAGTGCATGTAAATAGTTTGCCAAGGCTAAAATCCCTGTGTTCCCTCCAGAGGGAGTTTCTCTCCCACACACTTCCCCCCCGCCTTTCCCACTGGTGGGACAAAAGGATCTAATTCTCTGCATGTCAGTCTCAGTATTGAGAAAGAATAATCATTGGCATTTAACCATTACTGCGTAACCCAATGCTTTGTTAGAAAGTCACATTCCAGTTTGTGTGTCACGCAGCACATTATCTATGTGACAAATCTGCATACTGTAAAGAGCACCAGTCTCATCTCTCTTTTCGTCCTCAGCTAACTCATCATCCTTTGTATGAAAAGGTGAGCAACAAAAAGCAGACACGACTCATCAGATGAAACCTCATCTCACAGGAAATTCCATCCAACTGGTTCACCGAGATGACATTGTGCAGGAACAAATTATGGAAATCCACTGAATGAAAAAAGGGTGTGTATGTGTGTGTGTGCATGAGAAGACATTTTCACATGCTCAGGTGAGAATGAGAAGTGAGATCGTGTTTTGATCAACGTGAGAGGCAGCACAATTGAGGATTTGCATTTGAAAGAGATTCCTCTTCTTTTCACACGATAAAAGAGATACCAGGTTCCTCTGCACAGCAGGCATCAGTGATCCGGTATGAAGGGGACTACAAATCTGAGATTGCGCATAAAATACTCAAATGAGGCATAAAGCAGACATACATCTAACAGGGATTTATGGGAAGAAGGCAATAATTATCCGATTGCATTTATAACATAATCGCCTGATCGCAATTATATGAGATGACTGGCATCATTCTTGCTAAATCGTTGGGTTCCAATTCCAATAAAAAAAGGGAATTTAAAATTAAAACTGTGGCAACAAATAGAAAGTATCTATCTACTGGGTAACAAGTGCACAAGGTTCAAATATTGGGAGAAAGAGAGTTTGGGTCCAGCTCTCGCTGCCGTTGGACAGGTTATTTTTTTTTTTTGAAGAGGCCATATTTCACTCTTACAAAACCAGATGCTGACAGGAACGTGCTGATAACAGATCTCTTTTTCTATAGCAGAGTTTCCCCTATGGGTTCAGCACTGTGTGCAGGGTCACCCCTCCCTACATGCCAATCACGCAGGCTGCATGGGGCCCCCCCCTTACCCAGAGGGCCTCAGCTGCTGTGCGCAGTTCTCCGCGCACCCCCCGCTGACACGCGAGAGTGAGAGGTGATAAGGGGAGCACGTCTGTAACCCGACACCGTTGCAATGAGTCGACATCTGACCAATCACGGCTTTGATACGGCCACTAGTGCAGGTGAAGAGATCCCGTCTCTGACGGACAGAAGTAACACCACTGGCTTACGTCGACTACAAAAGTTATAAACCGTTCTACCCGTTATAAACTGAGATAATGTTTGTAAGCGTTCAACGATGTAAACTTGAGTGTGTGATTGGGTTCGCGCGAAAGCTCACCTCCGAAGATCCAAAAGAAGTACAAAAACAAAAAAAGGGTGACTTTGACAGAAAAGTNGAAGGCCTTGCACCTATGGCCTCATCCATGGCCATGAAGAAGGGCCATGTTGCAGGGGTTTCTTCCCCCTGATCAGTCCCTGTTCCAGTCCTTGGCCTTTTAAGTTCCTATTGCAAACAAATGCATGTTAGAAATCTTTGTTCAGCTTTTTAAAAAACAAACAAATGTTTTACAATAACAATAAACCATTTACGGTACCTTGTATTTCTTTTTTAGGTTCTCCCATTTCTTGGAGGCCTGTTTGTGAGACACATGTTGCCCAAGGTCCAGTTCCTTAATGATTGACCTGTTATCATAGAATATTTAAACAATATATATTGGTGTTAAGGCAATGACCCACAGTGCACATTCATTACTTTCAGTGCACACAATATGAATTGAGTATGTTATGCCTTTTATCTGCTAATGTACAGGAGGGAGAGTGATACACTGTCTGTCTAGTTGGCTTACATAACAGTTAAAGTTTACAGCCTAAAAAACATGGAGCATTTTTTCCCCTTTTATTCATTTTTATGTCAATTTGCACATTTCATTGTGATGCTCAGGAGTTAAGGGGAGAGGCTAACAGTCATCATCATCATGTCAACCACAACACAGAGAAATACTGATAGAAATGTGTGTGTAGTTGTTGATACATTGCTGACAGAGGGAACTACATTTGAATACAGATTTAAGAAATATCAGTTTTTGAGCATGTCATAAGCATGTTTTGTCTTGACTATATTACAACTATATTATAATAAAATAATATAGTATTTATATTATTGAATTCATTATGATTATGATTATTAGTAGAAGTAGTTTATTTTGCATTAAT